AGTAGATCAACGTAATTTATAGACGATATATCACTATTATAATAATATAATATATATTATTATTATTATTATTATCATGCATACATATTTAATATACATATTATATCGTGGTTTGACCACATGGCACAGAGAGACTAGAGGATTTTCTTAAGTTTATCTATTGAAATTTGTAATAGAGTTAGAAAAAGTTGGTGATTAGCCCATCAGCTGTGTTCTTGCTAACAAAGATGGTAACAAATAAGGTAAGGATGTGCATAGGAAACACAAATTTGTGGGTTAACTTAAGGGCTGCGGGGTCAAATATATTAAGAAGACTGTGTCACTCACATGCACATGATTGAGATCAAGAGTTGAGAAAGGTAAGCGAACTTTTATGTCAAAATACCCGTCCAGTTGAATGAATATGCAACGTTTTTACAATATTAAGAGATAGGAATATAGAAGAATTATTTAGGCCTACACAGAGCATTTACCAACACAACTTGACGGCTTTGATAAAGTTATGCGAATGGCTGAGTGAATGCGACGATAGAACCATGCATAAAGTTGGATTAACACTTTCGCTGGCCATGCGTTGTCCAAGAGAAACTTCGGTTATCCTAACGCAGGAGCGTCCTCAAGAGTGCTGGGTCCAGAAATCCGAATCAGCTGAAAGTGTGGTCAGGATATGACAGACTTAATGACTAAGAGGGAAGCTATAGAGACAATAGTAACTACCACACAGCCAACCTCCTGAATGGGAGAAACGATTGTATAAAATCAAGCAAGAATGTCAAGAGATAGACACACACACACACACACACACAGAGACCAGGACTAACGACCGAAGGGAGAGAGGAGACAGGACTGACCTGAAATCTGGTTTCGGCTCTCACACACCTCAACTCGTGTATAAACAATGCATACACAACAGGTGCACAAATACACACTCGAAAGTGAGTCTAACAGCGTAACTCAAAGTTCGTCCGGAGCATGTTCTTGATTGGTACGCTTTGGTGGATTCTCGTAAATCCCACCTTTCCACTCTGAAGATGTCTGTATGTCCCGGTGGAACGGACGCAAAGTCGCTTTGCGGTGTGCCAACGACCTGTTCAAACGAATCCCAACCGTCACAACGGCCGAATGGCCAATTTGGGCATCAGGTCCACCCGCGTCTTCAAAATTAAACAAAAGCCAC